GCTAATTAATTGACACTGTTTTGAATATTCATATCTAATATAGCCAGTATGCTCTTAATTACATTGTTGGACTTTTCTCCAAGGAGGCTAAATCACCAAAGACTTAATTAATATAATGTATTCCAGAACTGGCTGGCTCAAAAGGAAGACAGTTGCTGTCAAGAGTTGCACCATGACACCTGGCTGCTGATGAACAGTCTTTTGTTATTACTCTTTGCAGGAGACCAGGAAACTTTTTGTTGTTGTTGTTGCTATTAGTAGTAGCGTTATGTTTTCTCCTCTATTTAAAGAGACAGCAAGAGCGAAAAGCGCTGCCGCCAAAGACGACGGGCGCGTTGTTCGTGGCTCATCTGCCCCTCGCACACGTCGCGGAGCGGGGCTGCCGATAGCTCCGGCGGCGACCTCTCAGGTGTTGCGGGGCCCTGCGCGGCCCCGCGCCCCGCTCCCCTCCTCCTCGCTCTCTCCCCGCTCTCTCTCCGCTCCGCTCCGCTCTGCCTCTGGCCGGGACCGCGAGAGCGGACAGGCGGCGCGGGAAGCAGGCGGAACATCCGCGGGCCGGAGGCCGCCGGGGCGGGACCGCGACCTTGCCACCAACCAGCTCCGGCATCCTGCTGATGGCTGACTGACACATTTGCAGCCGAGGAGGCAGCCCGACCTTTTTCTTCGCCTTTTAGGGCAGGTGGTTTTATGAGCAGCAGCCGCGTCTCCCCGCCGTGCCCACCGCCGGGACAGCAGGCTTTTGAAGGAGGCCCGGATCCAACTTAGGTTACTGCTGCCAAAAACATCCACATCCCCCAAACTGCCCGTCACTTCCAAGAGTACACCAGCAGCGCTGGCAAAGTGGGCGCAGAGTGCGGGCACCCTCTAACATCGGCGGGACTCCGCTGAGACAGGAGGGGAAAGTGTGGCGTTGGTTTGAGAAGGGAGATGTGGGTTGGTGCCTACCAGTCGCTTCGAAGAGCTCAACCGATCTCTCTTCTTAAAACAGCAAGCCAAAAATTAAGGTTCGGCTCTGCCATTTTCTTGTTATTTTCTGGCCAAGAGCAGGGATCCGTTCCCGGGAGTGGAGGATGTCCTCATCTTTCGCTGCACCCTCTTTTCACGAAAGTCAGGTGATTATTTTGCATCCTGCCTGACTTCACTTCGCCTTGAAATTAAAAGTGGTGCCAGGAAGTCGTGGCTAACAGTAGGACTGACTAGCAGGTAAAATGGGTAGAAGAAAATGAGAAAATATCAAAGAGAGGGAGGAAAGAAGACGAGGCGCGTCTCCGTGCTGGCTTACTTGTCCTAATGCAAGAACAGAGCTAACTCTTCCGCTGAAACCGGCGGACTCTGAGCTAAAGGCTTGCAGGGGGAGGCTGAAGGTGAAGGCTTTTTTCCTGCCGGGAGATACCTCTCTCATCAAGGAGGGAGCATATCTTAACTCTACCAATCTGGCCGTCCACCATGTGCTGCTCGGCTCTGTTTTCCTCAGCGATGCAGCTCTTGATAAACGAAACTTTTTTTACCCCGTGTCACCAAAGCCCTCTCTAAAGCTAACCTTCACTAAGGCAGGCAGAACGCGGCAGAACTAGAAGACAGGTATGTCTAAATGTAGCATCCAGCAAAGCAAGCGGAAGAAAGGGGATAGTCACCCTGCTACACCAAAGCCACCGCCGTCTTCCAGGGGTACAGCTTTGCCCGAGGACTGAAAGCGTCTGGGGAGTCCAACGAAAAGTAATTTCTCGGGAGCAACAAAACTTTGTAGTGACTTTTCTGGTTGAAAAAAAAAAAAAAAATCCTGAGAAACTATGTTGCCGAGTCGGGAGGGTTGCAGAGACAACTCGAGTAACCCTGAGCGGCTGCCAGCAATGCATCATTAGTAAAACACTACCTCTTGACCTTCTGAACCGACCTAGGTGATGTCAGGCTGATTACCTGAGGTGTGTTTCTTTGAGTAATTGTCTTAGAGGCTTCAAGGAACAGGTCTCCCTTTCACAAACACATGGGTGGACCGCAGCCCTGAGGTGATGTTTCCCCATAAACGCGGGTACCAACTGGCTACCACTAGCCCGTGCATGCACGCACTTTTCCGGTAGCTTGGGAAGGGCTCCTGTTAAACGCGGGCTTGCTCCAACACTCCGTCGTTTACCAGAAGTCCTACCTTGGAGGCCTACAGGAGCGTAGAGGACAGAGGTGGCAGCACCGCAGCCCCAGGTTCCTGCAGCTGTGCCCGCCGGATGATGGTATCGAGCTCCCGGCCGACTCTCCTCCTCGGTTCCCAACCTCCCCCACGCCTTCCCGGGGAAACAGCGAATTACCACTGCCCCCGAAAGCAGCCGCATTTGGGAAGTGATGGGAGAAGATTAAACGCAAACGGCTCCTTTCGGGTCTCACCGGTCTCCAGGGATGGATGTATTCTCGCGTGAAAAATAAAATCCGGCTTGCAGTGGAGACGAAGAGGGTAAATGTGAGAAAGGGCCAGGCTAAATTCTCACACATGCCCTAAGGGGTGGGGGTGGGGGTG